ATGGGAAAAAAATGCTATTAAATAGGGTTATTTCAATGTAGTTTTGTACACTATCGAACTTGTGATCTAAGCAACTTCTAAATAAAGATTCAATATAGAAACATAGTTGATAAAGGCCATTACAATACTGTGTGAATGTAACACTTTACAGAAAGGTTCATCATCAAAGACGAATACATTCCTTGTAGGTTACATAATTAATTCCATGTAGGTTATATTATTTTGGACAATTTCTGGTCATATTTTGATAACCTGAGGATTATTAGATTCGATGTATAACAATTTTTGCAAGTTATTGTAGGTTCTACTCAGGTACCTAGTCAGTGTGGCAATACCACGTGACATTGACGTCATTTTCGGCATCATTTCCAAGACAAATGTTGCTCGATTCGGAAAAGAAAATAGCCGTAAATATTTTATTTCTGTACCAATTTCTTTGGGATATGCACCAGTCTACGGGGAAAAATATAAGCTTTCCATAGAATATTGGATCTTCGTCAGTATATAAGCCGTTTTATCAAACACTTTGCCTAACCTTGGAAGTTGCTTGTATTAGAGCGGGCTTCAGTTGCAAGCTATTTCGTTTTCTGGCGTTATCTGGTCTACGCCATAATTAAAAAGTAAGGTTTACATCAACCGGGAGTACGGAAGGCAAAACTCTACCTAAATATGTTCATATTTTTATTATGAATGACATAAATCTTACATTTTACTTCAATTGTCAAATCTGGCACCAGTTCCAAGTCGAAAAAAAGGACTACAGTTTAAAGCCTATTTTAGAATCCGTTGCAAATGCGAAGCAACATGCCTACCGTTCTCTTTCTACAATTTAGTTTTTCATTGTTGATCTTTCACAGGGAGATTATGAAAAAACTGATTGTTCCTTAAAGCAACAACACTTACTTGTATCGCAATAGTGCACGTCAAATCACGTAGATTTAGTCCTGTCGGAAAATAATGTTTGGTTTCGTTTTGAAGATGTTTAAAGTATTGCTCATCTTATCCTATGTAGTTAAATGTGTTTTATTCTATTTCACAATGGCGAAATTGATAAGAAATATATGTGCTCTCAGTGAGAGAAAGAGTTAATATAAAAACACTTTTGTATGATATGGAAAGTGTTACACTTTAACGAGAGTGTTGTTAAGCTAAAGGTATTTTTTTCAGTTTATTCTGACAAACACTGACACTCGTGAATGTGACGAACAGGTTTTTCTATCCTCAAAAGAGAGACTTTTAAAAGGTATATATTTTTCTGGAATTGTTGTATAATAAAGTTCTATAGAGTTTGATAAACTAAAACACAATTTGAACTTGGAACTTTGCCTTGTAAATCTGATAGAATTGTTACTTAGTTGCATTACTTATAATTCTCTATTTATCAAAAAGACCCAAAATAGCCATGAATAAGAACGAGAATGGACGCCATGTGGAGTAAACAAAGTAGAAAATAGTTAACAGATAAATGATTTTACAAACCAACATCCATCGATCAAAATCAAATTTCTTGAAACAAAACATTCAACAAGACGGAAATAACAATGATTATCAAAAATTATATAAATATTTACATTAACATCTGTAATAGCAACATCGGCAAGATCTATGACTGGGGTCCATATGCCACTGATGCGTCCATTGAATAATTGATAGCTAACATAAGCTTAGTAAAATTACGATAACATTTGAAGAGTAATTTCAATTCTTATCCTTCAACTGTCAAATGACTTACTTCTTTATTTACATATCAGATAATTCACTTATTAAGTATATGCGTCACGTTTATCATGTTTTAGATTTTAATGTGCGATCCTTTTTAAATCTTAAAATGCTACAAAAAGCCTGTTTAGGACATTTGCAGGTCATGCCGCGTGCAATAATCCATGCATTTACAGCCAATGACCACATCGATAAGAAATAGTCCCAAATAGCCCTATCGTTTTTATTCAGTTGAAAGAGACATTATTGTTAAAAAAGTTCTACTCGATTTAAATGTTTTCAAACCACAAATATTCCGTTCCCTTCCTCTCTTTACAATGTATATTGGTGAGCTCTCTGATAAAGCTGAGTTGACTGATATAATTAACTAAATTTGTCAGATATGCAGTTCATCAACAGAAATAAATGCAATTATAAAATAGATAGTGTTTAATAGTGTTCTTAAGTTAACGAAGTTATATCCAGTTCACGAAAACGGTTACCGTGGGTATGAAAACAGGATATAAAAATATATTTTATCAACGAGTGCCACTGTGTTAAAAAGCTTAATCTATCATACTAAAAGATTGCTACAGGTTCTTTATATATATACAAAGGCTCTTTACAAAAGAATTACATTTGACTTTAAAATTGCCGCGTCGAGGCGTAACCCTTTTTACAGCATACAAATCGAAGTGATCCGGAATGTGCACGTTCATTGGACAGGCTAGCTAAGTCAATCAGAGCCTGAAACATTTTCAATTTTGCCGTTTTAGGGGAAATTTAGGGTTTCTGTTTTCTATTCCATGTTTAGTATTGCTACATGACACAAATAAATGTTTCATAATCATTACCGTGAAAGAACAATGATTAAAGAGTAAATCATTTTTTTTTACAAATACTGCAGTACAGACAACAATTTTACTACTTTTAAAATCACTTAAATATCGCAGCGAGGAAAAAAATATTTAAATATTCATTAGTGTTTATGTAAATTGTATAGAAAATAAAAAGTTTTTCATGGTTAACATAATTATAGAAAGAGAACGGTAGACATGTTGCTTCGCATTTGCAACGGATTCTAAAATCGGCTTTAAACTGTAGTCCTTTTTTTTCGACTTGGAACTGGTGCCAGATTTGACAATTGAAGAAAAATGTAAGATTTATGTCATTCATAATAAAAATATGAACATATTTAGGTATAGTTTTGCCTTCCGTACTCCCGGTTGATGTAAACCTGACTTTTTAATCATGGCGTAGACCAGATAACGTCAGAAAACGAAATAGCTTGCAACTGAAGCCCGCTCTAAAACAAGCAACTTCCAAGGTTAGGCAAAGTGTTTGATAAAACGGCTTATAAACTGACGAAGATCCAATACTCTGTTGAAAGCTTATATTTTTCCCCGTAGACTGGTGCATATCCCAAAGAAATTGGTACAGAAATAAAATATTTACGGCTATTTTCTTTTCCGAATCGAGCAACATTTGTCTTGGAAATGATGCCGAAAATGACGTCAATATCACGTGGTATTGCCACACTGCTAGTGAGCCGGTGATTATTCTCAGTGATATTCTCGGTGATATTCTCGAGGAGTTATTACATAGAATGTCTGTGTTATTCATCATACATGAATATTGTGCAAATATTATGCTGCGCAAGTAGGAGTTTAAACTGTTTATCATGGGCCATTTGCTTTTTTAGGGTATTAACAAACATATAGTTCTTTCAATACTTTTGAATAATTCTTTTCTTTAAAAAGCATCTTAGAAGAAACAGGCGGAGGTGTGCCATAATCTAGTCCGATCACACATCGTCTCTGAGGATAAACTCTTAAATCAAAATGTAACATTTACATGCAAAAACATGCAAATTATTTGTTCTTGTTTCCGTTTTCCTTAGGAACAAAAATGAGTCTGTAAGTAATCTGATCCAAGCATCATCCATTGAGACTTCTTGTATTTAAATAAAGTTGAATTAAATAGCACTCAATTTCTTTCTCCTGTGACATAAGAGAAAGTTTCTTATGTAATGCCGAGTAAAATTTTTAAACTAATTTTGTTGTCACCACTACTACATTAGCTACTTAAATGTAACGCAGATACTACATTGTAGCTATATTTAATTTCAACCAAAATGGACAATTACTAGTTTATTATCTATGAATGATACACACCGAGCAAAATTTAGTCTTTCTTTTGAAACAGGACGTTTTATTGACATTATTTCAATCAATGTTGCTTTACCATTAATAAAATTTGATTAAAAGAATACTTCATGGAAAAATTCCTCAAAAGGAATTTATCAAGAGTGCGTTCACTTGATTAGGCACAGGCACGCTAGAGAACCATTACGTTACCATTTGCCTAACGGCAAATCCCTGTCTTCGATGCTTGTATACACACTTATTTACTCTCTCCAAATATGTACAAAAATCATATTATTCACTGCTGAACAAGATTTTCTTTTTTCATTCACTGCGGTACTAAATTTGGTTTTTTTCATTCACTGCGGAACTAGATTTAAGCAGGGGGAAATGAATTGGTCAGAGAAAATAAAAAGAGCTTTGCCATTGGCAAGGTAAATAATTTCCTGTTAGATTGTGTTCTTAAATTAATTTGCCAATTGATGAAAAATGTATATGTTGTTATTTCTTCCCAAATATAAAAAAGCAAAGGAGTATTCAACTGAAAAAGGTGAAGAAAAACAGTAAAAGAATAGATCCGAGATTCAATTATTTCTCAATTAAACTCCTAAAATCACATTTTTAAAAAGTGACTTTGAATTAGAATCTCGTAGTGGTGGTGTTGGTAGTTTTCAGTCCGGATCATCGGCAGTAAGCCACACTGAATTTACCAGAGTACAGTTCAGCCACCGCATCGTTCCTGGAAAGGCTTTCAAGCAGTTTACCAGTACAAGTTGCCTTCACATTCACAAGGAACTGAAACTTCTGTACATACCAGGGCAGAGGTACAGTCCAAATGATCGTAGAAAAGATTTCATGAACAATCACAACGAAAGTGACCTGCGCCGTCTGGAAATCGAACCTGGGTCAAACGATTCACAGTCCAATGCTCTACCCATTGAGCTAACCGGATGGCTATTTGAATTTGAATCTCTCATAACCTTTCTTATAATACGTATAATACTTATTAAGTTTTCTCAAAATACAACCCTTTGTCATTGGATTCGAACATAATGGCAGAATTTTGTATATGTTTACAGACATTTTCTTCTTTCTATTTAATTTATTTTGTAATGCTTAAGACCCATATTTTCTGATTACAAAATTTAATTGTCTTACCTGTGTTACAGTGATCAGAGCAATTGTCCTTTTCTGTTGAAGTAACTCACAGTCTGAAAATATAAATGAAAAAACATATAATTTCGTAACAATCTTAAGGCGAGGTACAAATTGATTTGAAAAAAGCAACTTTTATGAAATTCGTCCATTAGGAATCATTATTTATCATTAAATATAATTGATTTTCAGTGATCATAACTCTTTACAAAAATATAAAAAAAGACAACAAAAATCACAATAAAGCCAATGTCTTCAGCAGAATTTGACGGCTCATTACACAATGGCCTAACAAAGCGTTTTTAAAATTGCAAAATTTTCCTCAACATCTTTTCAAAAGAACATTTCAACACGCTGCTTCACATGCTAATTTTGCATTTCCTACTGTTGCATTATGGGCTGCCATCTGTATGTGCAACAATGATCAAAGCTCGGTAAAATATCATTCCGCGGCAGGAGTATTCACGACAGATAGCCTCGTTGATGGACCGCCTAAAGTCACGTTGATTGAAAACTGAATTGAAATTACTTTGTATTGTTCATTCCCTTTCAAATTCTCACAAGAACAGCATGATGGGAATAAAATTTTAAGACAATGAAAACACTATTTAATTAAAATGAAATTCATGCTCAACATTATTTTTTATTTTTTTCAAATGAATACAAGTATACAATAATGTAACAATTTTTTTTTTTTTTTAGATATTGCCTTTCATTAACAGTAATAACACAAAATTTATCAAAATTAATGCAAAATTCTTCTAAACAAACAAAATTTAAAAATGTCGAAAATTTGTAGTTGTGAAATCGAAAGAGTTTACAGTATGCCAAACGGATAATGTAATAAAGATTTGACTCAGAAAAAAAATAATGACTGTAGCTTTTACCATATGTCACACCAACACCATAAAGTATCAAGTTATGTCACCAGCTTAAAAAACCCGTGGTGATTATTGGTTGCGTAAGATGGGGCACACATGGCCAAATGCTAAACTGCTTTCATACTGTCACACACATCAATGCTTTTTTACCCAGGAGATCTTATTTTGCATCCTTTTGATTCTGTTGGCTTTCAACAGAAAATTCATCCAGCTCTTAACTTTAAAGCCAATTAAGCATGTATGATATCAAGAAGAATGAATATTCTACAGGGCTCATATGTTTTATATATGCTTATTTGTAATCTCCAGGGCCTCTCAGATGTTGGTAAGCCCATACTCTATGTCATAAACTGGGTCTGATCAGTGCAGTAAATGCAAGGTCCATTCATATTGAAACATCGTTGGTTATAAATCCAAAAATACAATTATTGTAATATTATGCGAGTCATGCAAAAGATATCAAAAGCAATTAAATGCTTTTCACTTCAAAACATGCTCTTATAACAATAAAAACGATCAGGTTAAATAATTTAATTATGGAATGGTCTAACACCATTGATGGAAGTTCACAAGGCAATTTCTCAAGCTCTACTGAACTTTACTCATGCTACTTCAAGTCACTACTAATGACACTCAACAAGAAAGAGGCAGAAGAAAAATTTGCAGTTGCTTCTGTTAAAACGGAAACTATCAAAGGAAATAAATTCAATGCGGTTAATGCACGATTTTTTTCAGCAAATGTGCTTCGAATTCAACTCTACAACGAAATGAAAAGGAATGCCATTGACATATTACCAACAAGTCAACGAGATGTTAACCAATATATCCAATTTCAGATGTAACGATTTAAAAAATTTTAAAAAAGAAGTGCGATTTGAAAGCTGTTACGTCTTTAACATATAAATCTGCCTCTAAATACTTACTAATTGTTAATATTATCAGCCTCAAAAGAGCGAAGACTCGGGGAATACTCGGTGAATACTCGTATATCAGCGGAGAACCAACATCACATCACCTGACTGTCTCCTATTACACAATTAATTAAATTATGTAACTTGATATCCCCACAAAAATCAATGACTGGCATGCAAATGTAAGATGATACTGATACTGTTTAAGATAATGTCTTTTATTCAGTACCATATTTATCACAAAATGTCCACCCCCAGCCAACTTTCAATTACAAGCGAAATTAAACTGATACCTTGTTGACGACCTTTAATTCACAGGTAATAACTGGTGGTAACATTAATAATCGGATATCTGCTAATTATATAAATGTAACATAAATTGAAGGATCTATTAATTAACTGTTCTTATAGCCATTTATGATTTTAGTACCGTATTCATCATAAAAATATACAGATCATGGCATATTAAAATTTTGCTGAGCTAAGTGATTCATGTACTGCTTAAAACTGAAGGTGCCGATATAATTTTTCGAGTTTAGGGCCATCTGTTTGCCGAGTGAGGCTGCAGACTAACAATAACAAGAGTCCGGTTTGACCCGGGTGATGCTCCCTGAATAGGTTTTGGACACAGGAAAGTACACCTCTTGTAGTTTCAGAGTTATGTCCGTGGAAAAAGTTCAAAGTGCAATAATTCCAAAATTAGGCAAGGCAGAGTTACAAATCTTTGCACTGCACTTCTAATCAATGTGATCTATCAACCTACAAAGTTTCTTGATGATATCTCTTATGATTTCCGAGTTATGTCCTAGACAATTCAAAAAGTAAAAATAAACAAAGGGCAATAACTCCAGAATTAGGCAAGGTAGAGTTATGATTCTTGTGCACTGCACATCTACCCATTGAGATTTATCTACCTACAAAGTTTCATGTTGATATCTCTTATAGTTTTACAGCTATGTCCTGGACAAGATTTTTCTAAAAGGGGAGATTATTCAAAAATAAGGCTTAACAGAGTTATGGTTCTTTTGCACTGCACCTCTACTCAATGAGATCTATCTACCTACAATGTTTCATGTTGATATCTCTTATAGTTTTAGAGTTATGCCCCGGACAAGATTTTTCTATAAGGGGAGATAATTCAAAAACCAGGCAAAATAGAGTTATGGTTCTTTAACACTGCACTCCCCCTCGATGCCCTCTACCACTGTATGAAGTTTCAACAAATTATCTCCAAGGGTTTTCAAGTTATGTTCCAGACAAAGTTCAAGTTCAAAGTATTAAAATAAACAAAGGGCAATAACTCCAAAATTAGGACAAAAAGAGTTATTGTTCTTATGCACTGCACATCTACCCATTGAGATTTATCTACCTACAAAGTTTCATGTTGATATCTCTTATAGTTTTACAGCTATGTCCTGGACAAGATTTTTCTAAAAGGGGAGATTATTCAAAAATAAGGCTTAACAGAGTTATGGTTCTTTTGCACTGCACCTCTACTCAATGAGATCTATCTACCTACAATGTTTCATGTTGATATCTCTTATAGTTTTAGAGTTATGCCCCGGACAAGATTTTTCTATAAGGGGAGATAATTCAAAAACCAGGCAAAATAGAGTTATGGTTCTTTGACACTGCACTCCCCCTCGATGCCCTCTACCACTGTATGAAGTTTCAACAAATTATCTCCAAGGGTTTTCAAGTTATGTTCCGGACAAAGTTCAAAGTATTAAAATTAACAAAGGGCAATAACTCCAAAATTAGGACAAAAAGAGTTATTGTTCTTATGCACTGCACATCTACGCATTGAGATCTATTCACCTACAAAGTTTCATGTTGATATCTCTTATAGTTTTAGAGTTATGCCCCGGACAAGATTTTTCTATAAGGGGAAATAATTCAAAAACCGGGCAAAATAGAGTTATGGTTCTTTGACACTGCACTCCCCCTTGATGCCCTCTACCACTGTATAAAGTTTCAACAAATTATCTCCAAGGGTTTTCAAGTTATGCTCCGGACAAGATAACAGACGGACAGACGGACAGACGGACAAGGCGCCAACTATATGCTCCCCCGAAATTTTTCGGGGAGCATAAAAATGCTTTGCTGTCAATGCGGTAGGTTTGAATCTTTGTAGGGATGTATAAATATTTCAAAAGAAAAAGTGTCAGTCTGTACAATAATTAATGTACAAATCAGCAACTGTCATCATTACCCCACCTATCAAAGCCAGGAAGTGAAGATATGACCTAAACTATGTTGACGTAACTAAAAGCCATTTTCTTTGTTTAAACTCTTCTTAACAGTTCAATTCAGAAACATATTTCAGTAATACACCCACAATTCATTCTGCACACTTAAACATTTAAAAGAAACATTAGGAGTGCCTTAACAGCTTAAAATATAACATTTACTTTAATACACCATCTATCATAAGTGACACTTCACACTTAAAGTAACAGAATTCTAATCAAACATGCCCTGCCTTGCCTTAATTGTGATGTAACACAATTATATCATATTTAAGTGTCTGACATTATTTGTCCAATAAGATTGCAGTATTTCAAAAGAATCATAACACACTAACTTTGGTAAATCGGGTACCTTATAATTAGTCAGTAAATCAAATGTTTATTAAAGTAATTTCAAAACACTAAATATGATGTATTTCTGTAATGGTCACTAGTGAAAGCAGACAACAAAATACAGATATATTTAATGAAGAAATGGGATGATTATGAGATATATTGTATAAAAACATGAAAACCACTTAAGAAAATGATAAAATCTAGAGAGAAAATAACAATAAAAGATATTTCTTACAGACAATTTGACCTTTTCTATCAAATTCACAGTAAAATAACTGACAAATGACCAGAAAGATCAAGTAATATTATCTTGAAATCAATTTCTAGATTAAGTTGTTTTTACCATTTCACAAACAGAATAAGGTCAATAGCCCTTTCCCCATAGATACTGTATTTGGTTCCATTGAATCTGTCCAGAATTTCCCCTCAAAGACTATGCAATGGACTTGCAATAATTTTACATAGAAATGCAGCGACTGCTTCCATCGTTTTGCATTGCATAATTATGTATAAGTGTATTTTTAGTTTTAAGGATATATCAAGATCAAAGTACTTAAACTGAACAGGCAATCATTTATGTTCTGCAGCTATGAAAGCATTTGATGCAGGTCTCGTAAATATTATAATATTCATATTATGAGATTGTAATTAAATGAAATATGTTCTCTTATCTTAAGAT